AGCTGGAGAGAGTGCTTATAGCTTCCACCATAGCTGTTATTATCAATAGAAACTCACAGAAGAAAACTGCATGAGACTCGATACTCTGCCACACAGCCCAGAACAGTGTTTGTGCGACAGCAGGCAGTGAAGTGACAACTCACAGCCCTACATGTCAGGAACAGATCAGAGCAGAGCAGCAGTGGACGACACGCCGTTAGAGAGTGGCTGCCGTGGGGATTAAGTTCAATTGTAAAGAAAATGCCAGTCGTGGGAACACTTGAGTTTACTGGTGTCACTGTGGAACTCCCAAAGAATCAAGAGGAAGGAATTTTGGCAGATACTACCACAATTCCTTGGACTGGTTGCCAGGTGTGGCCTTGTGGACAGACAAAGGACAACCTTGTTTTCTGCTATATTGCTATTAATGAGTCCAGATAAAATTTTTAAAAGTTATTGATCTCAGGCTGGAGAGATGGCTCAGTGGGTTAAGTGCTTGTTACATAGAATGAGGACCTAAATTTGGAATCCCAAAACCATGTAAAAAAAAATTATGTGTGGTAGCATGTCTGTAATCCTACTGTTTTCAATGTTATTTTTGTTTTTCTTGTTTTGTTTTGTCAGTAATTTGTCAAGTGTTCTCTACCCATGGCGTTTGCAAAACTCTAACAAAAATGATAATCATTCTATAGATACATTTTAAAGGACTGTATTATATAGAAATCAGAGAGGAAACAGGATGAAAAGGATGAGAATGCATATGAATCATAAGCATGGGATTATGGGCTAGTGGTTTGTCTTAGTTCAGTTTCTATTGCTGTGATGACACACCATGACCACGGTAACTCTTACAAAAAAATTTAATTGTGGTGACTGGTGTACAGTTCAGAGATTCAGTCCATTATCATCATGGCAGGATAGGGCGGCATGCAAGCAGACACGGTGCTGGAGAGGTAACTGTTACATGTTGATATTCAGGTAACAGGAAGTAGAATGTCTCACTGGGCGTGGCTTGAGCACATATAAGACCTCAAAGCCTCCTCCACAGTGACACACTTACTGCAACAAGACCACACCTACTCCAACAAGGCCACACCTCCCAACAATGCCCCTCCCTTTGGTGGCCATTTTCTTTTAAACCACCATATGGCTGTTTGTGGGAAGAGGAAGGGAAATGGGGTGTGGAAGGAGTAAACTATGTTTTTTTGTGTGCCTGACATATCCTATATTAACAATCCAAATTATAAGTGGTAATTATACTTTTAATACTTCCTTGATTTGCCCTAAAGCATCACATTAGGGATTGCCCATCCTCGGTGCTTCATTTAGAACACATGTCAACAATGAAGACTTAAATTTACAGTGGCAGGGGAATTAAAGAGTAAAAATAAAATCAATTACTGAATTAGTTAAGTGGCAGCTGAATACGTGCTATTACTTGTATAATTTGGTGGTCTCTAGAAAAATTGTTTGCTCTCTATTTCTGGAATCCCCAGGCTAGATTTTAGGACTTTCTAAGCCACCCTTTGATTGGGAGGGCAATGTGGTAAATTCTCACGCAAGTGTGTGAAATGAATGATTTGATTTTCAGTCCAACAAAACTTCTCTTCAAGCTCTTATGTGCCAGATACTAAATATGCCAGAAGCTAATTAAGTCATAGCCCATGGCCTTCAAAAGGCAGAATGGTATTATGATAATCATAACTAACATCATTAAGACCTTAATAAATGCCTGGCCTGCACGCTAAGCCCACTGCCTGTGATCTCAGTAAGTCCACACAACAGCCCTCTGAGGGAGAGACCATTAATATCCCCAATCACAAGTGAAAAAAAAAAAACGGAAATTTTCAGAATGAGTTTTTCAAGATGAACAGAGATAACAACCTAGAAGTTAATAACTATAAATCTGAATGTCTCAGCACTGGCATATGACAAAAAGCAACAGAAAAGTTCACACAGGAATCTAGAAGAAAAAACATTTCTCTAACTATGAGATTCAATGAGGATGTCTGTTGTGTAGCTATAGTCTCAGAATCGAAACATTTTCTTCGAGGAGGAGTCATATGAAGACTTAGGAAGTAATAAAATTTACAAGGTTCAAGAAGTAAACAAAACTCACAAATTTTGTTCTTGAAACTACAAGTTATATAAGCAGTTATATACAGGTGGAGAAAGGAGACCCTTAAGGCGTCGGCTGTCTACAAATCACATGGAAAAACCTTAGAGTGCTATCTTGGGGAGTCATTACCCATGCTGTCATGTTGTTGGTTTTTTTTCCAAATGTGGCTGCCATACTCCTAGCAGAGACTCTTCAACCATATTCCTGTAAATAACCCCAGTCAACCCAACCCACAAGCAAACTACCATAGACTTGGACACAGGACTTTAATCTCAACAGAAACTGCTACCCAACAGTGGACTCCAAGATTGGGATTCTGTGAAATTAGGTAACCTTTGTTCACAATAAGCTTAACATTTGTTTGTTTGTTTGGTGGGAGGTGCATGCTGCAGCACAGGAGGTGGAAGACAACTTGGAGAAATTGGTTCACTCATTTCACTGGGTGGGTTCTGGCGATCTCATTCAGGTCATCAGACTACTGAGCCATCTCATCAACCTTCATGATAAACTTAAAATATGGCTATAGACTTTGGGCATATCTACAGGAAACTAGATGAAAAAGCATATAAATCACTTCAGAAAATGTACGGTTAGAGAGATAGCTCAGTGGTTAGGAGCACTGGCTGCTCTTTCAGAGGACTCAGGTTCAATTCCCAGCACCCACATGGCAGCTCACAATAATCTGTAACCCCAGTTCCAGGGGATCTGGCATCATCCTCACACACAAACATGCAGGCAAAACAGTAATGCACCTAAAATATATATAAGGCAAATTTAAAAGTCAGGTCTAGGGAAGTTTTGGAAAGTCATGATCAAAGCACTAACAAGTAAGAGAGGTGAGTTTGGAAACTAGATAGGAAATTTCTGGAGGGGGAGGATCTGGGAGGAGATGAAGAAAGGGAATGAACGAGATGAAAATATATCGTCCAAAAAAGAAATAAAATTTGTTTTAAGAAGAAAGCAAGGGAGCAGAAATTCTCCTGTGGGTAGAACCGCGTGAGGAATGTTTGCTTACGTCTTCATTACGAAGCAGCAGAGGCAAGGATCCTAGCACATCCATTCTTGCAGTCCTACAATCAGCTCGTATTTATACCTACTGAAATGTCCCCTAGGCTACTTGAATTCTGTAGCTCCCTTTAGCTGCATCAAGAGGCAGTATTAGATTACTATAGGGACTATCCAACATTTTATATACTTGATTGCTCTTTGAATTACTGTGGGAACCATATGTAAAAATGTCACCAAAGCCACAAGTAGAAACATATTCTGATTCAAATTATTGCAAAACATTACAAGAATTGGGTGAGGCTTCTAAGGAGGAGGGCTTCTAGGAAGTTAACTAAGCAAAATTTACCGTGTCCTCGCTGCGGGAGACACAGCACACCAAGTAAACAAGAACAGTGTAAGAAGGAAACTCCTGAATCCCAGAGATATTGTTGATAAGGCAGGTGCTGTGATCTGGGTCTCTGGAGAGAACACCCCCATTAAATTTTAATTCTGTGGACAACGTCAAGACTTTAGGGCAAAAGATCTTACAGCAGAAATAATTTGCGATATTGAATAAAATGTCTAGGTTTCAGTCATGTCTGAGCTAGGCAGCCCTGGATAAATGATTGGCACCTTGGGCTGGAGGGACAGTAGTACTTAAGCACATGCAACTGCAGGGAGTGATAGGTGAAGCACAGACGGAGAAACTATAAAAGAGGAAATGGTATTGATTTGTAGCCCTGCGGTCCTTGGCCAGACACGGTACTTCATTCCCTTTCATGGCGCGCACAGGTTTCTCTTCAACAGGATACCTGCTGTTTCCTGAACACGTTGGCTTGCTTCCTCTCCCTGCTCTCTGCAAACGAACACTTTAGTCAGTCACTAATGATAGTGTGCTTGGACCCAAACAGCTATTAGAACTCTTGACAGGAAATAACATTGGCTGTCATTCCCAGGCAGCTGTCAGACTGACACTGCCGAAGACATTTCTGTTCATGTCATGTCCCTCTTCAAATGCGTTCAATAATTTCCCACTTTCTAATTATTAGTCTTAACTCCCGGTTAAACTCCAAGTCCTGGCTAAGCAAAGTGTAGCTTTCAGACAAGTGGCTCTCTTCTTATCTGGGTGTGTGTAAGAAGTGCAGATTCTCTGGTCCACTCAGGCCCACGGAACTAGCAACTCAATTTAGTAAGATTTCTATCTTCTTCCTGTGCCAACTTTGGACTACATCTTTACTTTTTTTCGTAAACTTGAAGCTTTAGTAGTAGAGTTGCCAGATTTGGCAAATAAAAATAAGAGACATCCAGTAAAAATTGAAAAGAATGAATAATGTTTTTAGAAGGTCTCAAATCCTTCATGGGGTATTTACCTTCATTTACCTTAAAAATTGGCTGCATGCGATTGAAAATGGTGGCCTGTATGCATTTTGGCTAGTCAGTTCATGAGGATAGAGTGTCAAAACAACGGTTTTTTTTTGTTTTTGTTTTTTTTTTTTTTTGGTTTTTCGAGACAGGTTTTATTTCCTTCCAAGAATACATTGCCTGTTATAACTCAGTGTTGAATTAATAGAGTTGAGCTTAAAGAGTATCTTCTCTGGGTTTTTGTTTTGTTTTGTGTTTTTTTACATTATTTATTCCTAAGAACTAGCACAGAGGTCTTCCTACCATAAAAGACCAATAAATATTTGTTGGACGAACAAATGAAAATATCAAAAGTCATTTTCCAATTGTGGACTGGATTGTGTAAGCCTATTTTAATTAACAGGTTTGGGGTTTTGTTCCTAATATTTAAAAATGTTTCGCTGGTACAGCTTTTCACAATTCCGCTGGCAGCGTTCAGGATTTGGTGGGAACAAAGTCACGGGCTCAGAGTGTACTCGTCGCCAACTGGGTCCATATGGTCATCGTTGATTGGGTAGAAAAAGGCACCAAAGAAGGATAGAAGACGGCAAAGCGATCCGGCTTCGGAGGCGCCGCGCAGGCGCACAGCCGGGCTCCGGCCTGCGCTCAAGAGCGGGTGGCGGAGCTCCGGGGCGCGTGCGCGGTGGCCTAGGCTGGGGAGGCGGAGCTCCCGGGCGTGTGCGCAGTGGCCTGAATCCGGAGAGGCGGAGCCGAGGGGCGCGTGCGCGGCGGCCTGGGCGGCGGGCCCCTCCCTTGGCGGGGGCGCGCGGCGCGGAAGACCGCACGGAAAGGGGGAAGTCAGGTGGCCGCCGCCGCCACCAGCGCCAGTTTGTCGCCAGAAGGAAGATGGCGGATCTGGAGGAGCAGCTGTCCGATGAGGAGAAGGTAGGCGCCGCGGCGGGGAGGAGCAGGGCGGCCGGAAGCGAGGGCCGCGGCGCGAGGGCCGGAGTGAGCCCCGGGCGGGCTCCGGTGGTGGGCCGCACGCCTCCGCTTCCCGAGCGGGGGTCCGCCCGCCGAGCGAGGCCCGGCCGCTCCGCTCCTTGTAGGGTGTGTGCTCCGAAAATAGGAAGCGGAGCCCGGCGGGCGGGGGCGGGGCGGGGGCGGCGGGAGCCGGGCCTGGGGGTCCCGGCGCGGGGTCGGTCGAGGGCGGTGTGGCGCCGCCTGGCCTGGGGCTGTCACCGGGAGGCGGGCGGGCGGGAGGGGGAAAGGGCTCAGCCGACCCTCACTTTTCCCTGCAGTTTCTCCTCCCCGACGCGAAGTGCTTCCTGGTTCTTCAGGGTGTTTCCTTCCCTCCGGAGGACGCAGTCTCCACATCCCGCCCCTTTGCCCTCCCCTCCCTGTGCCGTCTTTTTCTTTTATTAATTTTCTCATTATTACCTTTTTTTTTTTAATTGCTGTTCCCATGTTCCCCGGAAGGCAGTATTGTTCACAAAGACACCTCCCCCCCCCCATAGTTGTTTTCTGCTTAACTTGGCTGCTGCTCCCCTTGGGGCAGATTTGGTGACATCCCATCTTCCTGATAGGACCAACTCTGTAGAGGGAGAGCAGAGCGGGTGCAACTCCTTTGACTGTGTGTTAAACGCTGTGACAGCAATAGGACCAGATGCACGGCTCAAGTTCTCACATTTGTGATGCAAAATCCCATCACTGAACTAAGACTTTTGTCCATTTTTTTTCTGTTGTCTTTTTTTTGGTTTTGTTTTGGTTTGTTTGGCGACTGTGGAAACTTCATACCTAGGGGCAAGGAATGTGAGAACTCTGTTAATTTTGAGTATTTCCTGGAAAAGCTTCATGACGTTTTTCAAACTTGACTGACATCTGAGTGTGGTGCACTTTGGAAATGTCCGCTCTTAGTGCCTGGTTTTGTAAGTCGGCACGTCCATGTGGGACACATACTCAGTTCTAGCTGGGTGGCAAAGGAACTCTAAGGGATATTTTCAGTGGGGACCCTCTATTTTTAGACTGTGGTGTTGCACCAAAATTAGAGTTCTGTCTCCTTATCCTTATGATTGTCCAGAAGTCAGCCTCATTTTGTTTTTGAAAATGTTTTTCTTTTGTGCTCCCTGGTGAGTGATGAAAAATGAACAAAATTGGGACAGCAGCATCCTTTGTCGTAATCCCTAAAAGTTGCTGTGCAGTGTTTACATGTGCAACATGGACTAGTTTTAAGTTGCTAATTGAAAATATAAGAGTGCAGTGCATGCAAAATTAAGTGTTACAGTTTTTAAAGGGATTTCTTAAATGTTTTGATTACTTTCGTATTAGTAGCTCTGATGGCTAGAAAGATAGCCAAGGAAAGAATACTCCGGGTAGGAGTTAATAGAGGTACCATGTTGTTGGAAACTCCTGAAATTTTCAGATGAAGCCATAAGATTCCCAGTTCTTGATACTCAGGGCACTAAGTTTCACAGAACACTGTAAGTTCATATACTGGTATAATGTTGGGACAAATGAATGAGAATTCTAATTTTAAATTTAGCGCCATTTTTGTGGCTTGAGTAAGAATATTCTGTTGTAATTTTACATACAGGTTTTATAACAATATGTTTTAATAAAACAGAGGCCAAACTTTTAGGTTAAATTTAAATAACCAATAATTTGAAAATTTAGCATTCTTGTCCCTTTATATTCCCATTATACTTTTACTATCTTAGGAGGAAAACGTTTCACGTGGGATCAGAAATAGAGGACTTAACGGTGATATTTGAAGACTAGTGCTTAAATCATGCTTCTTTGTCATTGCCTGTGAGTTCAGGAGGGTGTCTGAAATACTTTTTACACTTTAGTTGCTTGTCTTCTAGGTTTCTGGTCCTAAAGAAGGGTGGTACTATGATGTGTATAATACTGTACTTTGTATGTGCGTACTACATAAGGCACACATGTCGCATTTTCTTTTTAACTTAGTTTGATAGTTTCATTATTACTCTTTACTAGTAAGTAAATTAAGGTTCTAAAAGCGTTTTGTAGCTTACATGGGGAGGGAGTGGCAGAGGTGAAATTTAAACCTAAGTTTGTCAGAACCCAAGGTTTGCCTGCATTAAATGGCATTATGGTCCCTTGAAGTTGGTTTTGAATTTGTTGACAGTTTATTTTTTTTTAAAGAAAGCAGTGGCTCTTTGTAGTGTCAGGTTCTAAATTTGTGTTTATACTTAGTGAAAGGCTAACTGGTAGTCATCATTTTTAATCAAGCTTGTTTTTATTTAACATGTGACCATTTTTATGCTACTACTGTGTAGTTTCTTATTTGCCCCATGAAAGGAGGGTGTGGTAGAAGAGATTTGTAATCTAAGTACTGAGGAGGCTCAGGCTGGAGGATCTCTAGTTCTGAGGCCAGCCTACAAAAAGAAGCAACAAAAAGAGATTAGTGGCTGTTGTGGTGCATACCTGTAATCCCAGAACCCTAGAGGCTGGGCATGTGGAACAGGAGTACCCCAAGTTTCAGTAGCCTGTTCTGAGTTCCAGGATAGTCAGTCACCCTGTCTCAACAAAACAAACAAAAAGGAAAAATATCTAGGACATTAGGTTTCCTTTTAAAATCATGTACAGTTGCTTTTTTTGTATGTATTGTGATTTTATGACCTTGTTTCTTTCGGCTACAGTATTAATAGGAAGTAAATGTAGCTGAAAAAACAGTGATGTCCCTTAAAGCTATTAGTTTGTTGTGGTGTGACCCTGTAAATTTTACATAGTTAAAGAAACTCCAAGCCAAAAAGAGTTTTTATGTTTTTCTTTCTTGGATCATTTGTTGTATAGTAAAGCACTTTTGTGAATTTGAAATTATATGAAATTATATAATACAGTGATGTAGAGCTCAAATAAAGAGAACCATCCCAAACTCTCCTGAAGGAAGAAGTAATTGTTGAGTGGTTTTTTTTTTTTTTTTTCCTGGACCTCCAGCTTCTCCAGTGATAACAGTAGTCTACTTCTGTAGCTTCAGCTTTTGGTACTGGGCTTTGGGTAGCCTGGAACTGTGCAGGAGAGTGAGGACGACCTTGAATTTCTGCTCCTTCTCCTTACCTTACTGCTAGGGTTGCAAGCATGCAGTCTACTGCTGGATTTAGTGCTGGGGATGAAGGCAGGACTTTGTGTATGCTGGCCAAGCAGATCTACCATCTAAGCCACATCTCCAGCCGTCTCTAATTTATTTCTCTTTTTCCATTGTTATAGTCACTTAGGTCCTATATTTCATGAGGTTGTTTTGCTAATTTTTTTCTGCTTGCCCTGTATCTTAAGCCAAAATTTTCTCACCTCTGTGGTCATGATCAAAAATGCCTTATACAATAATTTATTTCTTGTTCATAAAACATAATTTATTTTAGTATTTAGTTTACAATCTCTGGGTTGACAAGATTATCCATTTGTAACAAAATTTCACTATTTAAGCAGTACAGTTAGATCAGTAACGACAGTTAGGAAAGAAATAAAAGTTAAAGTTAAAAGAGCTAGAAATTGTGCCTTAGCTGGTCTTTTTCCTTCTGCTGTATTTGCTATGGGCAAACTTTTCTTGTAGTTTCTAGATTAATCCCTCTGGTTGCTTGTATCTAAACTATACTTTTCTATATTCTCTAATAAATACCAATGCCTAAAGCTTGGTGTGGTTATATGCCTCTCTGACCCCGGCGCTCAGAGTCTAAGCCATCCTGGTCTACCTAGAGGCCTTGTCATTTTCTCCTTGAGTGACTGTGGCACTTCTCATGTGTACTGTTTAACCGTGCTCTGGTCCTTTTCTAACATCTTGAGTAAGTTTATCTCTTGGCCTTAGTTCCCCTGAACTTTGAGGACATAGTTGAAAATATGAATAGTACATGACATATAGTTAAAACATGTCTATGGCTTTTTATTCTCTCTAATGATTGGAGCTACTCCCAGGTCTTTACCGTGTTTTAAAAGATAAAAATTGTATAGAGGGCTTGAGAAATGGCTTAGTGGTTAAGAGCACTGACTGCTTGCTGTACCAGAGGACCTTTGTTCAATTCCCAGCACCCACATGGCAGCTCACAAATGCCCCAATTCCAGGATAGCCGACACCCTCAACACAGGCTTACATGTAGGCAAAACAGCAATGAACATAAAAATAAGATTGAATCATTTGAGAAAAAGGGAATTTTACTCTTTGTTCAGATCATCTGGCTCATTTAATTTTCCTTAAACTCAGTGACACATTGTTGGTATTAAGTACACTTTTATTCAATCCTTTGTTTTTTCTTCCCTTTTCTATTAGAATCCCTTACTACAGAAATCATGTCATCTCTAGCATCTGTCAGTACACTGCTTGTGGTTAGTAAACTGTTCAGGGGGGGGAATGAATGAATAATCCATACATCACAGAGTTGAGGGGAAGCCTGTATTGTGAAGAGTAAAATCCTATTACCCCAGGCTTTGCCGTGGAAAGCTAGCTATCCACATTTTCATTCCTACGCATTGCCATTGGTTTTTAAACACTTAGGTACAGGTGTCTGAAGTTCAAATGCTAAATATAATTTATATATAAGCAACTAAAATATTTCCCCTCCTACAGTTGGAACTGGTTTCAGAAATCTTGTGTTTATACAAATAACATGGACTGCTATATCTTATCATAATGTAAAGTTATTAACTGGCTTAACCAGTAAGCTATTTTGGAAAGTATTCATTCCTAATTTCATTCTGTGGAACTAATTTCTACTTCAAGCAGGAATTTTTCATATCAGCTATAATAGGACTTTTTTACAGTTCACACAATGAGAAAAGTTTATAGTATATTTCAGGGCATTTGGGAGCCATTTTAAATAAAATAGAATCTTGCATTTCAGTGTAAAATAACAGGCCCAAAAATAGCAGATTGCAAATTTTTTTAAGATTAAAAAGCATGATAACAGAACTTGACCTGTGGTTCATACTTAGGA